CTTTTAAACTTTGCAGAAGGCTAATTTGGAAGATGCGTGATTAATCACACATTAAGGATAATTTGTATTATTATAAGGCAAATAGCAGATAATGGTAGCACCCAGAGGATACCCTTCAAGTGTCAAGCTTTTGTTGTTTCAAGTGCTGTATGAACCGTGGCTTTTCTGAGAGATGGGGCTTATAATAAATAGCCTGTAATAATTACTGCATAGATCTATGTTGCTCAGTTAAGCTAGCATTCAGGCCTTGCTTGAATTAATCACAGTAATTCACTTATACAGCATTTTCTTTGACTGACAATCTATCCAGGTTGCTGTGGCTTTATATAAGTGAAAAAAGAGCACTGCCAGTAGTACAGCCATACATGCAAGTGGAACAGAGAGGGCTTTTGTTTCATAGGGATAACCATTGTTATTTGCGTTCCCACTGTAATAGGGAATATAGATAGACAGATTACTATTTGATCATACTTAGCTAAAGTGTCTATAAGAGGCCTATACAGTTCATGTTTCATCAGACTAATACATGTAATTGTAATGTACTAGATGCTTGATCATGTCTGTTTTTCTAGTCCTGGGTTAGCAACAAAAGTTAGAAATTACTGAGCAGTGTGATGGATTGTATTTGGCTTTATATGTGACTGGTGATATAGGCCTGGGCCAGACCTCTATAACCTCTACAGTTAATTCTTTTTAGAGCTTTCTCTTCTTACTTGTTTGCAAAGAATCCCAGCTGACTTTCTTGAAGGTATTTTTCATAAATGCACATTGCTTTTCTATCCAAAATGTTATTCAACTACCACCCTTTAATTTTGTTGTCTCCACCAGTCACACAAAATATATGGGGAGAAAAAAGCTTCTGATTTTGAATTCTCTTCTTTTTCTCCATCAAAAAGGAAGTGATTAAAGTAAAAAAAGAAAAAGCAGAAAGCTCTAGAATTCAATGAATTCATATTCTATTTTGAGCATTATATTTACTTCCTAGTTTAACAGAAAGACTTGTTTCTTACCAAGGAAAACAGTATTAGCTGTAAATACTTATCAGCAGGATGAACTCACATCAGTAGGATGGACTTACATACAGTATTAACTTTTGCTACCTTAATAGTAACTTTTACAGGTCACATACGGTAATTTAGCTTGCTTAAAGGTACTTTATATACATTGGACTCCAGAACCATTATGCTCAGAGAGATCTCAAACAGGAATACATTACATATTGCATTATACACTTGGCCACTTGAAACAACTCAGTTATTAGTGGATTGTAAATACAAAAATCAGAGAGGGACAGGAAGAAGGGATGATAAACCAGCCCTTGAAAAAGAATATTTTGATGAATTAATCTCATTGTAAGATCTTAACAAACTGTCAAACTGTTGTACAATATTTACACATTTTAGTATAGACCATTGATAATTATGAATTAAACCTAAAATAGCATCTGAATATAATAATAATTTATCTCCAACTCCAGCCATATTTATATCTGAAATATCCTTAGATTGTTTACCAAAACATGTAAGTGGCTCCAGCATCAAATTCCATATAAGAGGAGGTGAGACATTTGTGATGATTTCCATGAAACATCTTGATTGGTGACATTACAAATAGTTGGTGGATTACAAATAATTCCATTTGTAATCACTGAAGCAGACAAATACAATAGTTTAATCCAATCAGTGAAAACAAAAGAAAATCTCTTTTTCACTAAAAAATTTTAACTGCCTTACCTTAAAAATTTAAACTGTTAGAGATACATTTAATTTTGATTACTACACTGACTAGGGGTTGGACTCAATGGCATAAAAGAATCCTTCCAGTTCAAGTAATTCTATGTTCTAAATTGTCTAGGAGTACCACTAGGATAAAGGATGGTGCTGTTGGGTCTCAGAAAGAAAGCAACATTGACAAGCATTATGGGAGTTATTGGGAACCATATGTAGCTATTTATTTTCACCCCAGTCATTAAGATCTCCAGAACAGGAATATGCATTTCGGCTGAACTGCAGAAACAATACACTTCTTTTTTCTTAAAAAATGAAACGAGACCCTTTTTTTGGATGCCAAATATGTCTTGATAACAGCAGGAAATTAAATAGAGAAAACAAAAAGGGGCTGTAAGAAAAGGGTTTCAAATTAAAACTGAGTCTGATGCTATTTGGATATGCAAAAATACTTCTAGTGCTTTCCTATCAACATTGTGGTAAAACATGCAAATTACTATTGTGAAAAGGCATTATTTTTCTATATTTGGAACTGTGTAGGTCTTGATGTTGAGAAGGCAAGCACTTTAGGGAATGACTTGGCTGTTGTCTCTGTTTACCAGCCTATTTGAACAACAACAAAAACCCTTCTCTGGACGCTCATTATTTGTGATGGGGGTGCTGTTTTATACAGTTCTATATTTACTGGACTTGCTGAGTTGGGAATTGTATAAGGCTTGAGAGCAT